ATTGATAGGGATGAGAAGAGGACTTCAGTCTCTTAAGCCGCTGCCTTTTACCAGCATTCTCAGATTAAAGAAAAATATTTAACACACTTTTTTGTAAATATCTTAACTAGTGTTTTGAGAACTGGTTGAGACTCTTATTGCAGGTGTTATTTCATTAGATGTCTTTAAAATAAAACTGATGGGTGAGCCACATTGCTAATGCAAACAGCTCCATTCTGAAGAGTAATAACTACTAATTTAAGAGGATTAGCTAAGAATGTGTATTCATAAACATGCTAGTCTTCTTGTAGGATGAGAAAAGCTGTCTTCAGAGAATTCATGCTGATTATTTCTCTCAGCCAAGTCTAATTTTTCAACTCAAGTGTGAGGGATCTGAAAATCTTATTGCTTTAATTTTGGTGTCATGCGGAGCTTGGGGATAAAGCTTTCCATCCTGCCTCATGCTGTGAAATACAAGAGACTTTAGCTTTTAAAAGTTGGAAACTGTCTTGAGTTAAATAGCTGCTATCAAGAATATTTGTTGCTCAATCTGGCACAACTAGAAGACCTGAATTGCAATACCTGGGGCTCCTGCCACCTATTGGTGCCTGAACTTAACATTAAAATGTACAGTGCCCTTTGTTTCCCATTCTTCTAGTTAAAAAGGGAAATGAGATCCTGTCTGCCTTGTTATAATCAAAAGAGCCCTTTGTACTATTTTCCCCCTTAAGAATGTTAAGAGGACAAAGGCTAGAATTATAGGTGTCAGGGGACTGAGAATGAGTTAAAGCACCTCTCAAGTCTAGATTGGTTCAACTCCAACATCAGGCCCTGATTCCATAATAAAGCTCTGCATGGGTGGATCCATGCAGCGACTAATTAACTTCAGTGAAGTTCAGTGCAGGCTCAGGTGTCTATTTGCACAGAGTTTATTGAATAATTGGGGCCATAGTCAGCAGTGAGTGAAAGTCATTACCATCAGATGCTTGTTTGTAATAACTATGTGAAATTAGTTGGTGGGTCTCAGTGCAGGTACTAGTGGACAAGTATCCATTTCAAAACCACCACTGCCACAATTGGCACTGACTGGCCTTTTGGGCAGTCTCATTAGAGAGGCCTAGGATAGAATAGAGCATGGAGGGAAGGGTTAATTCCCCCTTCATGTTAGGGTGAGTCCCTTCAGAGGCACGCTAGTTTGAAGATTTAGGGAAGTTTTTGCTGCCTGTCCATTGTCTGTTCCATAGATAAGCATAAGACTGTTTCCAAGCCTGTCAGTCTGGCCTCTCAGCACTAAATTTACTCAAATGGTAAAATAGCAGAAAACAGAAGTTAAAAATATTGTCTCCTGATGCTGAATATAGCAAATAGACTCTCTTTGAAAAATGTCATTTTTCAAGATCTGTCTGTAATCTCGCAGGGCAGAAAATAATCATCCTGTGCTTTTGTGTGTATCTGATGCAACACTGTTTGTTATGTAGCTCCCCAGTTCAAAAGCAGATAACCTGAAGCAGACTCATAGAAGGCAAATTAGAAACAGCTGAAACCAAATACGTGCATGCAAAGAGAGTGGGTTGAAGGGAAGGAGAAAATGAGACAGAAAATGGGTGTAATGTACAAGATTCTCTTTCAATCAATGGATATATTGATTTTCTTCACAGGTTGCTGCTGTAACAGAATATGGGGCATTTATAAAAATTCCAGGCTGCAGGAAACAAGGTTTGTTTCTAAGACTAGATTTTCAGACCTAGTTTCGTGCTGGTTTTGTTAAATCATAAAATCCTCCCCTTGGAGAAGGACTTAACGTCTTAGAAAATGCTGCATAATGAGTCTGTTGCCCACCTCTCCCGAGTTGATTAAATCCCCCCAGTGTGGGGTTTGGTTTTTTACTGAGGTCTTGAATGTCCCCATTTATGCTATGTAAGGGCTCCAGATACAGTGATGGGG